ATCCATGATGCAGTATAATTCAAAAAGTTTAAGGTAAGATGGGGTAAGATAAAAAAAATAAACAAATTACATTCTAAAATACAGTATATATATAATTACTGTATTTTCAAATAAATGCAGCCTTGGTGAGCAAAAGAGCCTTTATTAAAATAAAATAAAATAAAATAATAAATAAATAATTATTATTCTAAACTTTTGACCAGTACCTTCATTTCAAGTGCCAATCTGACAGTCATTTGAAATCACAAAATTCACCACAGGATTTCCTGTAATTACTGTATACTGAACAAGCACTTACTCAAGTGAATCGAGTTCAGTGCACACGTGCAGGGGCATTTGCCCGTCTTCGTTGGTTGCGTTGGGATTGGCTCCGTACTGCAGCAGCAGCTTGACGCAGTCGGGCTGGCACTCTTCACAGGCCTCATGCAGGGCAGTGGTGCCCCCAGGTGCCAGGTCCACTCGAGCGCCCCTCAGGAGGAGATGCCGCAGACATTCGGTGAAACCCCGACCAGCGGTGATGTGCAGTGGTGTGGTCAGCTCTTGTTCATATGTCAATGACCACAGTCCTGAAGAAAAGCAGAATTATGAGATTAACTGCATGAAGATTCAGATATTCAATACAGCAGTTAGTTTGAAGCTTTATTTAATTTTCAATCAGGAAATCATGAACAGGACTGGACAGTTTGAAGATTCAAGGTATTTTAGCTTAGCATCCAATGAGCAGCAAAAATCTGCTTTTTTTGGTGCATTGGTATCGGTAAGTTTTGTTTTTGAAAGAAGCCTCTTATATTCACAAATGCTGCATTTATTTAATCAAAATACAGTAAAAACAGTATTTTTAAGTATTTTATAAAAAAAAAATATTGTGAAAAATGACTACAACTTAAAATAAGTATTTTCTCTTTGAATAGATTTTAAAATTAAAAAATAATATACATTAAATAATATAAATTAAAATTAATTTATTTCTGTGATGCAAAGCTGAATTTTCAGCAGCCATTACTCTGCTCAAGAAACATTTCTTATTATTATCAGTATTACAGTTACAAAATTAGTGGAAACCTTGATTAAAATAAATATGATTTTCAGTTTTTTTTTGTTTTTGTTTTTCATAAATGGAAAGTTCAAACGAACAAGTAAATGTCTTGCTTATCAAGGCTGCATTTACTTGAGCCATAATGCAGTAAAAACAGTAATAGTGTGAAATATTATTACAATTAAAAATAGCTGTTTTCTTTATGAATATATATGTGATGCAAAGCTGAATTTTCAGCAGCCATTACTCTGCTCAAGAAACATTTCTTATTATTATCAGTATTACAGTTACAAAATTAGTGGAAACCTTGATTAAAATAAATATGATTTTCAGTTTTTTTTTGTTTTTGTTTTTCATAAATGGAAAGTTCAAACGAACAAGTAAATGTCTTTACTGTCAATTTTGATCAATTTAATATGTCCTTTTAATTATTTATTTACCTTTATTTAAATGATTTTCAAGCCAGATCCAAACCATATGTGGTTGTTTTTCATCATTCAATATGCAATGTGACTGTAATGTCATACTCAAAAGTGCAGTAGCATTTGTCTCCTATGCAACACTCATTTTTGTGATCAGTATCAGTAAGTTTCATAGGAACAAACATAAACACAAACTCATAAAAAGACCCCAAGACTACCTCAAAGACACAGTCGGGGTGGGTGCAAAAAGAAGAGAGCAATCTGAGTGTAACCGAAACACATAGGGGAACAAATAACTATGACAGTAGGTGAGTCTGACGTGGAAATACTGGAAATGAAGACGTGCTAGTGTGACAAAGTTTGAGTGCTTGTATACGTGCATAGGAATCCATACATTGCTGTGATACTCATCCACAACTAAACGTGCATGACAAAAAAGAGAACAGAAATTAATTACATTTGAAATTGTTAACCTGTTTTAATCCTGGGTTGAGATCTGAGATTTCAAGAAGATTATCCTATCATTCTATTTACCTCAAAAGTGTGAGCCATTGTTTAAAAAATACACTCTTCATCATTCCAAAGAATGTCGTTTTCCTCAGAAGCTGAAACTGAAACATAAACGTTTCTGCACTGACACAAAGCTCATACTATAAATGTTTAATGAGATAAGCATTGTCTAATTTATGATTGACAACCAGTCATTGTGGCTCAACAATTGCTGCCGTAACATTCCAGCACAACACATTTGGCATCTTTTTATATTTTGAATATAAAGTGTATAGATATACAATTTTTGTTTCAGTTTGTTATTTTGATACATCAAGTTAAACAAGTTTATGAATTATATATTTTAAGTTACCATTTATTTTAATGAACAAAAATGTTTTCATGGTAATAATTTTTTGGTAATAAATCTCTATAAAGCCACTCACACAGTTTCAGTTAATGCAACAAAAATTATTAATGTATTCACAACACAAATACATTACACAAAATAATTAAACTTCACATTTAAGTATTTTAATGTATTAAAAACAATGAAATTAGGTTGTGATAAAATACTCAGCAATTCTGTTGCTTTAGCTCATTTTAATTAAGTTAACTGAACAAGCAGCCAAAATATTTTGTATAGCAAGCTATCTTAACAAACGTCAAAACATAATTTCACATCATTTGTGTCCCTGTAGCATACTTAGCCCTCTGTAGTTGAACCTGTAGTTCTTCCACTCCTCTATGTTGCTGGTGTCATATATGGCATCTAAGAGAAAAGCATATTCTGGGTCATCAATGATGCTAATAACAGTGAGGTCATCTCCGACCAGAAGCGCATTCCAGAACTGGAGGATAAGTCCTGACGCCTGAGCCGTCGCAATTACATCACTGCGATATTTCTTTTGTTTGCAAAACTTAATCTTCGGCCCCATGTGTGAGGTAAAGCAAGGAGCAGATGCGAATCCAGCTTCAACTTTGATTGCCTGGGTTGGTCTTAAGACTGGGCAAAATGTTGGAGATGATTGCACTGAATATATTTGCTTAGTCTGTTGCCTGTTTTTAGAAAGAGGCTATTTAAAGGCCGCCTGGCATGACCTTTAGAAAGGTCCAGAAACCCGAGGCTGTCTGGCCAACTAGATCTGAGAGGTAAACAGTCCAAGTAATCATGACAATTGAAACAAATCTCTTGGGATCTCTAGGAGACAATTGCAGTCAAACTCCACTCAAACAACTTGTTCTTACCTTTTCCATTTGCACTCCAGCGCATGGCTCCTCCCTGAGGCTGGATGAACAGGTCTGAAGGAAAGCCTTTGGAGAAGATCTCTTTCACGGCTTTTACATTTCCAGTGTACAGGGCATTTTGGACAATAGGGTCCTGGCACACCATCGGAGGGTTTCCTACGGTCTGCCTCGAAGACGTCCTCCTGTCCCAGGCTTCTTTCCTCAGCAGGTAACCACTGAGAACTGGGGCAGCCAGTCTCATCTGGTGCCTTTCCTGCTCTAAAGAGCGCAGAGAAGTTGGTTTATACATGAGACTCCTTCTAGACATGAATCTGATTATGCCTTCACACTACTAGTTTCTTAGAAGTCTTTTGGTCTAGTCACTAAAAGGCCTGGGATCTTTTAAATGGCCTTCTGCTTCTGCTCTCTGGGCGAGTTTTGATATCTGAGTAGGAACTTGGCCACGTGCAAACGGGACTATTTTTACAGTGTCACATGGGTGGTATATAACTTTGTTTGCTACAGTGACTTGCTGTTTATATCAAAACAGACGTTTACCAGCAGGTCTGCTCTGCGGAAAACCTCGTTAGTATCGATCCTTTAAACTTTGAAGGCATTTTAAATGTTTTTCAAAACTTTTAAATAAGGCTTTGTTGCTTTTTATTTAATGTTTCTATGTTTTTATGAGTGAAAACATTTTTTATTTCAAATTTTAATTTATCACTTCACATTCAATTTCAAATTGCAATTCTGCATCCTGTTTGCTACCTCAGTTCAATTAAAATTCAGGGACTGGATTTGAATTTAAAATGCTTTCTCAACTCTTCTATTTATCTTTTTATGTTTCCTCAATATAAAAATGCATCATAATGCAATAATTACGAATATAATTTCTTAAATGACAATCAGCCATCTCTTTTCAGAAATTTCGAGATTCCGGTTTCTTCTAAAGACACTGACTCGCAATGTCTTATCCATATGTTAATGACCCTGCCAATAGGAATATAAATGACATTTATTCCATTTTGCCATGCAGTAATAGCTGTCACATTGACTGAAGGCATCAAAAAGTTGCGACTTTGCGAACACACATTACAGGCGAGGCAGAGAATGGGAAGATTGTTTTGCTGCTGGAGTACATCCTTTTAAATGATACACATAATGAGTTTATAATATGCATCTGGGCTACCTCCTCACTACTTTGATGTCTTCCAAATGGCCCGGGTATCATCAGCAAAACATGTAGGCACTTTCCCGCCCCATTGCCTCCCAAATGTATTTTAAATATCATTCCTTGTAATGCAATTATTTAAAACGTTGAACTAAACACTTACTAATGGGGAAAAAAGACAGTGACTTCCATGAATTCATTTCTCAAATGGTGGACATTCAGTTTTTGTGGAGGCAGGGACTTTCTCAAGCAAGAAAAAGAAAGAAGTGCATTGAATCAGCACTCCCTCGACTCGTTCGTCTTACTCCCTGCGGACAACACACACACGCAACACGCATATACATATGCACGTACGCAGATACACACTCGTTTGTCTTGCTCCCTGTGGATAGAAGATGTCTGTCATTTTGTCCTGCCGTGAGCTTAACAGTGAGGCCATCTGTAGGGTTAGGATGGTCCGGTCAGACAGCCACTCGCTGCTGAGGACTGGACTTCCAGAACAGGCTAATGATTGTAACCTTCATCAGTGCAATTAGACAATTAGTTCCTGCTGATTATCCTCCACTTAATACTGCCATCACCGCTGTGCCTCATGTTAAAATCATAAGAATACATTGCTGAAACATCTACTTGGCGTGCAACACTAGACGGTACTAATGAATTTACTAATTAAAGGAACAAAGAGCAGACCAAGAATTAGAAATGCAAGCTAATTGGTTGAAACTAATTGATAACAATGAATATTTTTCGAGGAATAACCAACATGATTATGAGCTGTTTGAATGCTGTCTAAATGGTGTTGCAAGCTTGCAAGAATGGTGGATGAGATGAAATCTGCCCTGATGAAGCAAAGACAGATCGAAGAACATTATGAAGCATTCAAGAGCATTAGTTTGTGGTTTGTGAACATCTATTGGACTCCATTGATGATGTTGTAGACAACCATGATGATCCTATTTTGAGACCTGGATGAACTTCTATCATTACTCCAGTCTTCAGTGTCACATGATCCTTCAGAAGTCATTCTAATATGCTGATTTACTGCTCAAGAAATATTTCTTATTATTAATAACACTTCTGTTGTTTTTTTCTTCCTTTTTTGTGCAAACTGATACTTTTTTAACATTGTTTGAATGAGAAAGTTCAAAAGAAAAACAGCATTTATTTGAAATAGAAACTTTTTGTAACATTCTAAATGTCTTTCTTGTCACTTTTGATCAATTTAATGCATCCTTGCTAAACAAAAGTATTAATTTGTTTAATTAATGAAACTTTTGAACGGTAGTTTACTAGGATGCCCAGATGAGCAAATATAGATCATGTCTAGTGAGAAACACAACTATCAACATCTGCTAATACAGCTTTGAAATAACTTACAAAGTCATTATTCTGAATTGTTCTATCATTTATAGGTCCTAAAAGAAGGTGCTGTAGGCTGATATACAAGTTGTAACAATTTTAAACTGATCTAACAATGCAACAGCAACTTTAATGTGGTACCAAACAGTGTCTTCCATTGCTTTCCTCAAGATTGGGCTCTGTTCAGTTCCGATACATTAACTTTGGGGGATTAATTTAATTTCCAAGGCTAGGATTCATCAATATGCCTCAGTAGAGAATATTATATAAAATTAATTTATGCAGCAAGTTTGCCAAAATCGTGAGTCAACGTTGGCGCTGCCATCAAAAGTTAGCTGGCATTATGAGACATAATTCTTCACGAGACTGGCGTTTATGATAGCCGCGTTGTCCCGTTGCTCAAAAAAAAAAAAAAAAAAAAGCTTGCAATTCTGTTTTATAGCTGGTTGGTCTTAACGTTTTGAGTAGATTATTGAAATTTAGTAATGAGGTGAAATTTGTAATGAGGTTAGGGCGACGCGCTTGCATTTTCTTTCTGCAAAATTGCTTTCTGTCGTTCTTTCGAGCGCCCCGGAACCCGCAATGCATGGTGTATGTTGCTCTGTTGATTGTGTACGATCGGGCACCCTCTTCATTATGGCAATTGAGAGGTTCATATTTCAACCTAATAGCTCTCGATAACTTTAACAATTGATCACAACCTCATTTTATTGCGAGCCGAGTTAATACACGCTTCCCTGCCAAGTAGAAAATTTTCTAATGATGTACTTGTGCACCAAAACAATGCGGGGCCCAGTGCCTGCATTAGTTACTAATGTCCCCATCCGTAATGTGCTTATACCACCCAAAAGAGAGAGAGAGGGAGAGAGAGAGAGAGAGAGAGATTGTGTGTGCAGAAATGAAATGAGCGCATGGGGATCTATGAGGGAACCGCAAGATCAAGGGGAACATGGTGATGATGACGATAACGCTTAAGACATTGTCATTAATGACACCATCACCCTCGCTGTAATATGTCCATAGACATGCGATCATTAGCATATATAAGATCATCAGTAAGGCTTATTGTAAGAGCCAGGGAGAGAGCGCAGGGAATATGAAACACCATGTCTGGGCCCAGTATTCCTCAGACTTCCCTGATTAATGAAGGACAAAGCGTGATTTGTTTTCACCAAAGCTTCCCCCTGTGAAATACTTCATTGGTCAGCTACTAGACTGTAAAATGAACAAGTTATTATTTCAGCATTTTAAATATGAAAATAAATTTGTATTTAAAGCTTCTTATTCTGGTTTATCAAATGCATGTCTCTCTCACAAGGCATGTGACTCAGAGCTTTAATTGTGTCTTTCACCATAAATATTGTTTCATGTCCATAAATAAGCTTCACAGAGAAATGGCATCATATTGGAACTTGGAAAATCCAATTACTGCACCAAAATTGAATTTTTTTTTAGCCTTTATGTAAAGTTATTAATTACAATTTAATCTCACACACACAATATTATTTTTTTGCAGTGCATGCAATATACTTTTGCTTCTAAGAATCATAAAAGCATTTATTTTTCAGTCATTGCGATTTGCTTGGGTTTCTTTAGTTTGAAACACAGAAAATAGTTTTGTGATGTATTATTAACAGTGTTGGGGGTAATGCATTACAAGTAACGCGAGTTACGTAATCAGATTACTTTTTTTCAAGTAACTAGTAAAGTAACGCATTACTTTTTAAATTGTAATGCATTACTTTTAAAAGTAACTTTCTCCAACACTGATTATTAATTTACCCATACAAATAATTAATCCAGTGTGGAAAACACACTCACATAGCATTGAAAGTGTTGCTCTATTCCATCCCAATCTGTGACTATTTCACTCACTACCTCATGAAAAAGTCAATATTATGAGATTCTGTGAATATTGCTGCAATAGTCCTGCTCCAGTCTCAATAGTGTTAAAATGACTCCACCTAGCGGCAAAAATACGACGCTACAGTGTGAAAGATTTCTGCACATGACTTGTGGTGTAAATATGCAGGGTCACTCACAGACCTAGAGGGTAAACTGGGGTATTCATGCATTGATTTGCAAGATATTACACACTCCAAACTGCATGTGATCACAACTTCTATAAGCTATAAAGCCCTTTATTAAATTAGAGAAGTTTAGTAGAACAAAAATGCAGCATTAATGAAAAACCTTTAGATTTAATTTGCCACAAAATTACATTTAAACCAAATTATACCCTCATTACACATTTCAAATCAAGAATTGTAACTAACCTTTGTGCAAATTCATGAGTATGTATTCACTAAATTCAGTAACCACATGGTAACAGTACTGGTGGACATTTTTAAATTTCACTAGCAAAAATCAGGATGGAATTCCCATACGTGGGCATATATGGTATAATGTCCACGTATGGGAACTCAATCCTGGAAAAATGTAAAATTTAGTTCCATGGTATTCATTGTACGTATGGTATGGTCATTCGATATCATTCATGGTGGCTTTCTTCTGCACTTGCAAATAAACCGCTTGCTTTCTAAATCAGAATAATGAACAGTTGCACCGAATTTTCTGTGTGCATTTATTAATATTGAAGAGTGATTGCAAACATGCCACATGTTACATATGACTTTTTTTTTTAGTTGAAATGCCCCTCCTTCCTTTGGACAGCTCACAGGTGATCACTTAGAGCTGGTGTATTTGGTGACGGCCTTGTTGGTGCCCTCTGACACGGCGTGTTTGGCGAGTTCTCCTATATCATATGCCAGGGAGCAAGACAATAATGTAGGCTACCTTTTGAACCGATTCACAGTTTTTATGGCTTTCTTATTAGAGGAGTCAGAAATCATACACGGTTTTAAAGGTGTCATATGATGCT